ATTGAAGAGTTTAGTCCATTTACATTTATAATTAATATTGATATGTTTGCATCTGTATTTGCCATTGTGTTTGTCTTTCCTCTGGTTTTATTTATTTATTCTTTTAATAACATTTTTTTTTTTTTGGCCTTCTTTCGTTGTTATTCATCCCTCTGTTGGTTCTGGCTTTAGGACTCCTTGCAGTATTTTTTGAAGTGGGGGTTTAGTCGTAATGAAATTCCAGAGTTTCTGTTTATCCGGGAAGGTCCTTATTCTTTCTTCATAGAGGAAGGAAAGCTTTGCAGGATAGAGTATTCTTGGTTGGCATTTGTTGTCTTGGAGCCTGTTGACCCTGTCCCTCCATTCTCTCCTTGCCCGTAGTGTTTCTTCGGAAAAGTCTGATGTCAGCCTGATTGGTTTTCCTTTGAATGTTATCTGTTTCTTCCCTCTTGTCAGCTTCATTATTTTTTCCTTTTCTTGGATTCTTGGGAGCTTTACTATATGTGTCTTGCTGTATTTTTCCTTTTGTCATGGAAGTTTGGTGTTCTTCTTGTTTCTTGTATGTCTATTTTCAGCTCCTTCATGTTTAGGAAGTTCTTTTCAATTATTTCCTTGAACATTTTCTCTGTTCCTAGGTCTCTCTCCTCTCCTTCTGGGATCCTTATAACTCTTATATTTCCTTTCCTCATGGAGTCAGATTGTTCCCAAAGTCTTTCTTTGGTCTTTTTCCTTCATACTTCTCTTTCCTTTTCTGTTTTGGTTCTTTTTATTTCTGTGTCTTCAAGAGTACTTATTCGTTCTTCCATTTCATCTTCTGCTTTCATTGCTTTTCCCAGAATTCTTTAGCACCTCCATTAATTCTTTGATCTCCTGCATTTCTTTTACTTCCCTCTTTAGGGACTCAATTTCATTCTTCTGATCATTGATTCTTTTCCCCTTATCATTGTTTGCCTTTATGACTTCTGTCAGTTTTTCAATCACAGCAATTTTAAATTCTCTTTCTGGAAGGCTCAGAAGTTCTTCCAAGTCACTGTCATTGCAATATGGTGGGTGGTTTTCTTTTTGTGGTGTGTCTTTTTCCTGAGGAGTTGCTAGGTTGCATGTAGTTTTTCTTCTCCCTGCTGCCTGTTTTCTAATTTGCCATATGCATTGGGACACTGTGCCGCTGGTATTGGCTGGCATCTTTTTGGTGTGCTCTTTGTGGATTTTTGGAAACTGGTGGTCCAAATTAGTCAAATACTGTTATGCCAGAAGTATAGTGAGGCAGTTGTACTTTGAGTATGTTAATTGTCGCTTTCACAGAATATTTCCTCCTTCAGTGTATAATTACAAAGGTGTGACTTGAAGTCCCACAAACTTCCCTGGAGGTGGGGCAGCTGGATTGCACTCTGGGTTCCAAAAAAACTGGATGCCCCTCTGGGCTCCAACTTCCTGCCAGGTGGGACCAGGCTTGTGGGGGCCTTCAGCTCACCTCTGCCTGCGCAAGGAACCTTCTCCCTCTGATTCCACGATGAGCCTTCTGCCAATTTCAAGCAGTCTTTATTGAACAAAGGTCCCTGTTCTAAAATCTGGCTTTGATTTTGTTTGGTATTCTTTACTGTATTAACATGCATGGTTAGATTATTTATTTGAACTCTCTCTAATTTCTTGATGATGCCCAGATTGCTATATACATTCCTCTGAGTACTGTTTTTTCTGTGTCCCATAGGTTCTGATTGTTCATGTCTTCACTTTCATTTGTTTTTTAATGTCTTCTTTGATTTGTCATTAACCCAATAGTGATTTAGTAGTTTGTTATTCATTGTCCATATATTAAAGGGTTATTGCTTTCTTGTTCTGGTGGATATAGTTCAATACCATTGTGATCAACAAAGACACTTGATAAGATCTCAATCTTTTTTAATTAATTGATACTTTCTATGACCCATCATATAGTCTATTCTGTACAATGTTTTATGTGAACTTGAGAAGAATATGTTCTCAGATTTTTGGAGTGCAGTGCACTACAAATATCCATTAATCTCTTGTGACCTAATTCCTCATTTAATGTCATTGCTTCCTTGTTTATTTTCTGATTGAGATGATTTAATTGATTTATTCATTGATGAAATGAAGTGTTTACATATCCTACGACTTTTGTGTGTACTGCCAATGCCTATTTTCTGATTTGATATTAGCTGCCTTATCTATTTTGATGTTCTTTCATTGGTGAATATGCATTGATAATTTTTTTGTCTTCTTGATGTGTTGGTCCATTAATCACTATACAATCTTCATTTCTATAGTTTGCTACCCTTTTTCACTATGTATCTATTTTATCTTATATAAATATGGCTGTCCTTACATTTTCCAACCATTTACATTGAACCTCTGTTTCTTTGTAGAGTTCAAATATGACTCCTGGAGATAGCAGAAAGTTGTGTTGTTCTTTTCTGATTCAACTCCTAGTTCTGTGTCTCTTGATTAATGAGCTCAGATCATTTACATCAAGGGCAATTACTGATATATAAGGATTTACGACTACCATTATACTTTCAGTTTTCTGGTTTTATTTCCTGTTCAATTATTTGTGAACTTTCTTCTTTTTAATGTAGTTATGAGATTTTCCTAAAATGTATCTTATATGAGAGTTGTTCAAAAACTCCTTCATATTTTGTTTGTTGGGGTGGTATTTATTTCTTCCTCCTACCTGAAGGAATGTCTTGCAGGATATATTACTAGCTGACAGTTTTTATGTTTAAGTATTTTGAATATTATCTATTAATACTTAATATTAAATATTAAGTATTTTGTATATTTTGAATACATTCCATTGTCTCCTTACCTATAGCTTTTCCTTAGCAAGTCTGATGTGTAAGCCTAATGGAAGCAACTTTATAAGTTACAAGCTTTTTTTACTCTTAGCCATTTTCAATATATCTTTCTATGTCTTGACATTTTTGTCATTTCACTATTATGTGTCTTGATGTAGGTCTCATTATATTTTGATAACCAGATGATCTTTTAGCTTTGTAGACTTATTAATTTGTTCCCTGGGTTTGGGAAATTTTCCTATATTATTTCTTTGAATAAGTTCTCTGCTCCCTTCTATTACTCTTCCCCTTCTGGATTACACACTATCCTTATGTTGCCTTCCCTAGTGGAGTTGGATAGTTCTTTATGTCATTCTTCATTTTTCTTCTACATATGGAACTTATTGTGTCTAAGTTCTTTGTATATTATTATTTTTAAGGTCACTGATTTAGTTCTCCATTTAGTTTATTCTTCTCCCATAGCTTCTCCAGATTTTTTAATCTCAACTCTTGATCATTTACACACTACAATTCTCTTATTTTCTTATTTAAATATTCAGTTTATGTTTTCTATCCCTTTTTTATTTCACAGCTCACTTTTTTTTCCCTATAAACCATTATAGGAAAAGATAAACCATTATCTCTTTGACTAAATTTTCAGAGTTCTCATTTATCACTTTGACTGGCTTTTCTATGTTTTCTTCTAGTACTTTGAATTTAATTGTGATGATAATTTTTAACTATATCACAAAGGAAGATAAAATATTCCATGTTTTTGTGATTGGATTCCAGAAAATTGATTTCTTCTTATAATAACTCATTCTCTTAAAGATCAATGTGCATTGTATTTTTGGCTCCCCATTTTGCTACTTTATATTTACCTATTTTTTCCAAAGTATCTATAGCAGTCACTTATATATTTGCAGTATTCTACTTTTCCAGCAGGTAATGGTGTGCTTTTACTTCATTTTAGTTGTTGTTGTTGTTGTTGTTGTTGTCATTTGTTTTTCTGAACTAAGTTTGGAGAACTGATCTTAAGCTGGTGAGTCAGTGGGTAGAACCGAGGGTTGGAGGGGTCCAGTCACTAGTGGAAATGTTATGTGAGATAGAAATTGGTTAATGTGCATTTTACCACCAATATCCTTCCTCTCTGGGTTTTCAGTCCTGATTCTCTGCAATCTGTCAATATGTTTCACAAGGTTAGTAACAGTCAAAGAGGTGGAGTAGAGTGACTGTAGTCCAGCATATTGTCTTTGTTCATTTCATGGTGACAAGCCCCACTGGGAATTCCTCAGCTTCTTATGTGTTTGTCCTCAGTCAAAGTCTGTGACACCACTCTGCTCAATTCTCCCCTCCCCTTAGCCAGAAATCAAACAGAGTGCAACAATTTGTATGGCAGCCTCACTGCCCTAGACCACATCCTCCAGGTATTCCTCTATACCCACTTCTATTTTCCATCAGTTATGAATCTCTTCAATGTCCATTTGATATGATACATGTTGGTCTCTTATGTTCAAGAAATGCTTCAGCTTTGTCCCAAGTCACAGGACAGTCTGGATATAGTACTGGCCTGATTGACTTTCAAATTATTCTCCAAGGAGTGAAGCAAGGAACCTCCTCTGACAATATCTTGATTTGATCACTGGCATTTCTAATTATTTAAATCACTAAGTCATCTGGAATATGTGACTATTTTAATTTAAAATCTAAGTTTTTCTGATAGTTAACTGATTTTTTTTCTTTTTAAATATTTTTTTTTATTTTTTACATCATTGTTCATGTTTAAACAATATTTGCTTCCCCCACCCCCTCAGGTATAGTCCCCATAGAATTTCCTTCACCAATGCACCTGTGCACCATAGCAACAGTCCCCTGTGCTCCTCCCTCCCTCCCTCTGATCCTTCTCCCTCCTCCTCCCCTGTAGGATGTCTCTGATTTATAATTGTCTATTTTTGTTTTATTGTGCTTTGTATTGTTATTATTTTTTACACTGATGTCTTAAATTGTTCCCCTATATTCCTCCCATAAGTGAAACATCCAATATTTTTCTTTTTCCTTCTGATTTATTTCACTGATCATAATTCCTTCTAGCTCCATCCACCTTGCTGTGAATGGCATGAGTTTATCTTTTTTTATTGCTGAATAATATTCCATTGTGTATATATACCACATCTTCTTGATGTAGTCATCTATTTTGGGACATTTGAGTTGTGTTCAGGTTGTACTTACTGTAAATAGTGCTGCAATACGCATAGTTAACTGATTTTTTCCAAACTTTTTTCCAGCTTTTCTAGTTCATTTGATTCCAACAATCCTTTATTTGTTCATTTGTTGTGAGATTTTCTTCATAAGATGTTATATTCTAAAAAAATTCCAAATTCTAAGACTAATTACTATGAAATATATTTTTCAATTCATTTATAAGCTTAACATAGTCAATTCATAATCTCCTTGTGATATTTTAAAATAAACAACAGAATAATTACATATTTTCACTAGAGAAAAAAATTAAAAATATTAAACAAAATTTTTAAAAGTATATTCAAGGGAAATATACTCACATAATTAAACAATATATCTCTGATAAATAAATAATAGAATAAATTTTAACCATTTTAGGATTTTTATATTACATATATAAAAAATGACACAGAGCATTTATGAGGTTTTCTTTTTTGGTAAATTAAACTATGACAACTACAAATAGGTCAAACCAATGAAAGAGCACATAGTGGAGGATAAAACATAATGCAGATAAATTTTAAGTAGAAAAGAAGAATTTTTTGTTCTGGAGAGTAGGAAGAGTAATAATCAAGAATAACAGCCTATCAACTAGTAAAAATGATATATCCTTGGGTGTTCTTAGAGACTCAAAAAAAAATTATAGACTATCTTTAAAGTATGGCCATGTCTTTTAGACATGAAATAAACAAATTCAATAGTGGCACAAATTATTTACAGATTTGATTTTTGATTATATACATTTGTAAGAAATACTAAAACAGTACTAATATTTATATATTTGTTGGTTAAAAACTACATTAATGCTAAGAAAATAATGAGAGAAAATGTTGTATATTGAGTGGAGATCACTCATTAGACATGATATTTAGTTCAATGCAATCAATCAATAGATTAATCATGCTGTGTTTAGTGTCTAAAACTGTAAGTTTAAGTTTAGAATGAAAAATCTTTCTAAATTGACAATCTAAAAATCACATTTTTCCAATAGTGCCCAGTCAGATATTGTGGAGCATAATAAAAGAAACCATTTGTTGAAAACCTTCTGAATCACTTGCCTGATGTCTTAGATAGTCACATACACACTCTTGAATTGAAACATAAAATAACAAATTAGAATTGCTTCAATGCATAAAGATTAGTGTTTTAAATTTATAATTTCCCAAGAGGTATTAAGGTGAGGATCCTGGCTTACCTTCCAGTTCCTCTGCAAGCTTTATCACAGCCCTCACATTGATCAATACCATTGAAATCAAAATCCACATAATAAACACTTTTATAACTAATTTTCAAAATTCTACTTCACTTGTTTCTGTCAAATTGGAATTATTGGTTCTTTGGTTGCAGGCATGATATGGTAACATACATCTTAAGTAGTATGACTCATATCCCTAAATTATATAGAGGTATAAACTACTATTACCTCAGTAAATAATGATATAATTTCTTAAGTGAATACTTAATAAATAGATCCTAAATGTAGCTTTAGAATGATTTTTGGACAAAATGCTTTGCTAAAGGAATGATAACCAAATTTTGTTGGGGCTATGTCACCTTCACAAGCAGAATGATGTCTCACAGCTACTGACTGGTACTTTCTTTCCTATCACTCCTCTGCTCCTACCATAGACCTACCCAAAGTCTTCTCTAGAGATCCATCCTACTGTTTGTACTCTGAGTCTACAAGGACATTACTTCAAAAGCTCTGACTATTGAATAATATATTTATTTTTTCTGTTCAACAAATTTAAGAATGCATTTTAAAATAACGGAAAAACTGTTGGTGGAGGAAAAGTATGTTTCAATGACATCAACTTATAAAAATACAACTTGGGCCTCCCCAGTGGCCCAGCAGGTTGAGCACCACACTGTAAAGCTGTCTGCAGCCTCTGCAGCACGAGGTTGATTCCTGACCAGCCAGGGAGATTCCCACATGGTGTGGCAGAACTCTCCTGCCTCACCCGCTGCTCCCCTCAGCAGTGTCTTCAGTTCGTCTGCCTGTTCTTCTCCCCACTCTGTCTCTGGTGAATTCTCTCACCCTCCTGTGCCACTGATCTGAACCCCAGTTCTTGCATAAATAAATAAATCTTTAAAAAAATAAATAAAAGCTTCCCATGTTTAAAAAACACACTCCACTGAATTCACACATACCAAACAAAATCTTAAATAAATAAATAAATAAATAAATAAATAAATAAATAAAATTACAACTAAACACAATAAATCTGAAAATTCCTAAAATAGTTTATTCATATTACTAGGTACTGGGAGCTGTGTCTTCTCACCTGCCATTCCTAAGATCCACATAATGAACATTTTCACTGAATACATTAAAATCTACCCAAAGAACAGAATTTATCTTAATTTGAAGTTAACTGTTTTTCACAAAAACTATAAAGTGAAATTAATATATTACAGAATGCATTATTATTAACAGAGAAAATAGTTCAGTTCTTAAAGTCATTATTTCAGAAATGCAAATTTTCTTACCACCTTCAGTTAGTTTTCAGGTCCTGGTTTGGGTAATTTTGCCTAACAACCCAGTTGAGTATAAAGGATCTAACCAAGTTTATAAAACTTGTACAAAAACAGCACAAATACAGAAGATGTGAAAAACATTATCAACTATTCTAATCTAATTTACATTAACATTATACTGTAAAAAAATGTCATGCAAATAGAACATGCATCAAGATAAATATGTACCTAGACAACAATATATCTCAATAGATTGCAAATGATTGACTCTTACAGAGTATGTACTTAGGCTATGAGGATTTATACCAGAAATTAATAGAAATAAACTATGAAGAAAATTCTCAAATATTAGAACTTAAACAACATGTTTTTAAATAAATAGTAGACAGGGAAAAATCACAAGACTTTTGAGTGAATAATATAAAATTGAAACATAAAGACTTGTAAGCTTCAACTAAAATCAGTTCTTTTTTTTTTTTTTTATTTATACAAACACTGGGTACAGTTAGAAGCGCGGGAGGGTGAGAGAATTCACCAGAGCCAGAGCGGGGAACAGAACAGGCAGACTGACGAAATACACTGCTGAGGGGAGCAGTGGGAGCGGCAGGAGAGGTCTGCACGCCATGTGGGACCTCGCCCTTGGCTGGGGATTGAACCGACGACGCTGCAGAGGATGCGGGCAGCTTCGCAGCCCAGCGCTCAACTGCTGCACCGCCAGGGGAGGCCCTTCAACTAAATCAGTTCTTTAAGGGAAACATATCTTTAAGTACCAATATCAAAAAAAAGAAAAACATAAAATAAATTATTTTAACTCTCCACCTTAAGAAGTTCCAAAATGGAGCAAATTATACCCAAAGCAAATAAAACAAATGGAAGAAATTAAGGACTAAAATCTAAGACTGTCAATCTTATATAAAAATAACAAATTGAAAAGTTGGTTCCTTAAAATATTAATACAAGTTAGGACCTCCTTGGTGGCAAAAGGAGGTAACACATAACCTATGAAGCAATCCATAGTCACTCAGCACGAGTTTGATCCCTGGCCAGGGAGCTGCCCACATGGTGCAGCAGACCTCTCCTGACTTGCCAGCTGCTCTCCTCAGCAGTGTATTTCAGTCAGTCTTCCTGTTCTGTTTCCCACTCTGTCTCTGGTGGATCCTCTCACCCCCACACCTCTGGCCAATACCCAGTTCTTGTATGCATAAATAAATAAATCTTTAAAAATATTAATATAAGTTATAACCCTCTGTGAACACTGATGAGGAAAAAGAGAGCTAAGATTAACAATAGCAGGATTAAAACATTGATTATTATTACAGAACACTCAGGCCATAAAGATATATGATAAGCAACTTCAAATCAATAAGTTAAGCAACAAAATAGAAATAGTCTTTGGAAAAATGCAGAATTACCAAGTTTGGAACTTAGAAAACTGACAAGAGAAATAGAAAAATCTTACAAACCTTAAATCTATTAAATAAACTGAATATGTAATTAAGCACCTTGCCTATTTAGCTTTGATAATTTGGTAATTTTTATCAAGTATTTAGGAAAGAAAAATATTGTTCTTACACAAAAATATTTCAAAAAATGTATGAGGAAGGAATTATTACAAATATTTTTTGAGGACAGTATAGCCCTGATACCAAAGAGTGGCAAAGTTATCATACTAGAACGTTATGACTACTATTTTCAATTCAATCATGAAAGATCTTAGCTGTCATCACTCTCATCCTGAAATCATGACAATATGATCAAGTTGAAAATCAATATATTTTCTTGGGCCCCTGGAAGATCTGAAGTAACAGGACAAATTGTTACCTAAAAATATGGACAGACAGGCAAATTCAGAGAACCACAGCTGAAGTCAGCATTCCTGGAGCTATAAAATGTCAATAACACTAAATGGCAAATTTGATGAATTATACTGGATATTGAGTTTAAAGTAACTTGAGAAACTCTGTGGGACTGCAGTCTCGGGCATGAGGGGAGATTGCACTTTCTCTAGGAACCTCACCAGTTTCTCATAGCAAAGAGCCAAGAAAAATTTCTTCTTGACAATGGCAGGAGGGAGTGCAGAGTAGCAGTTATGAAATATATCCAGAGTGTGCTCTGTTACAAATGCCTGCTCTCCAATTAAAAGGATGTCACCAATGTGGATGGAGCTAGAAGGAATCATGCTCAGTGAAATAAGCCAGAAGGAAAAGAAAAATATTGGATGGTTTCACTTATAAAAGGAATATAGGGAAACCAAATAAGACATCAGTGTAAAAAAAATAATAACAGTACAAAACACAATAAAACAAAAACAGACAAATATAAGTCAGAGACATACTGCAAAGGAGGAGGAGGGAGAGGGATCAGAGTGAGGGAGGGAGGAGCACAGGGGACTGAGGTGATGGTGCACAGGTGCATTGGTGAAGGAAACTCTATGGGGACTACACCTGAGGGGGTGGGGGGAAGCAAATATTGTTTAAAAATAAACAATGATGTAAAAAATTAAAAATTAAAAAAGGGATGTCACCAGAGACTTATTGCGCTTGGGGAAGAGCATTTCTCCTGACTCTAACATAAGGAAGAAAATGCTAGATCAAAAACCCTGTAACATAAAAAAAAAAAAGATGTCTACTGTGAATAGTGTAC